TGGGTTTTTAGAATACAAGTGGAAAGATGAAAGGAATAAAATACCTATTACATATTGGAAGAAAATGGCTCATGTTTTAGGAAAACCAGTACCTCTAGATAATAAGAGTAAAGATAAGGAAGTCGTTAATGAAGAGGAGGCAGATGAATATTAATCCGATATGGCGGAGGAGGAAAGAAGTTATATTGTCTAAAGAGATAAAGATGAGTTACCTATTATAAAAATAAAAAAGGACTATGTTAGTATAGAAGAGAAAAAAGTACTAATGAAATGTTATAGACAATTAAGAAGGGAAGTTCAAGGTGGTAGCCTAAAGAATTTAAAACGCGGATGGAACAGATCAGATACTAGATGTTGATGTAAAAAGCAATTAACTCACACGGAGGATAGTTGCTTTGAGTGCTGAGAATTATCAGTTGGGATGGAAACATTAGAATGCCTGGTTGATGATTTAAATAAGGAATTAGGGATACCGGAAGACCTAGAGGGAGTTAGCGAATTAGAAAAAGAACAACAAATTCAGGTTGAGGAATTATTAGAAATGAATAAAGATCTGTCTGTAGATAGATTAACATGATTAGGAAGAACAAGAGAAGAAATGTATCAAATTTTGCTGAAGGAGGAATCAGAACCCATAAAACAAAGACCATACTGGGTTTCCTATACAGAAAACGAATTCATTGCGCAAAAAGTCGAACAAATGTTGAAACATGGGATCGTTCAGAAATCAACAAGTCTCTGAAGTTTCCTTGTAGTACTAGTAAAGAAAAAGAACGGTAAGACTTGATTTTGCGTTGATTACCAAAGGCTGAATACTTTAACTGTAAAAGATTTCTACCCATTACCACTCATTGATGATATTCTCAGCTTATTACATAGATCCAAGTGGTTCTTAACCTTGGACTTAGCAAGTGGTTATTGGCAAATAGAGATGAACCCACGGGACCGCGAAAAGACTGCTTTTGTTACAAAGGATGGACTATACGAATTTTTAGTTATGCCATTCGGGCTGACTAACACCCCTGCAACCTTTTAGCAGCTTATGAATAAGATTCTGCACCCTGTAAATGGAAAATTCGTATTAGTTTATCTGGATGATATCAATGTCTATTCAAAGTCATTTAAAGAACATTTATGTCATCTTCAACAAGTCTTCGACCTATTGAGAAATGCTGGACTACATTTTAGCAAAGATAAATACCATTTCTTTAAAAAACAATTATCCTTTCTGAGACACTTAATCAGTAGGGAGGGAATTGCCCCTGACCCCAATAAAATTAAGAAAGTCCAAAATTTTCTGGTGCTAACCAATCTCACTAAATTACGAAGCTTTATTGGGTTGGCCTTGTATTACTGAAAGTTTGTGGAAAATTTTGCAGGGATAGCACAACCTCTAAATATCCTCTTGAAAAAGAATATCCTCTTCAAGTGAAGTAATCAGTGTCAAGAAGCTTTTGAAAGGTTAAAACAAAGGTTGATAACTGCCCCTATCTTATGTTATCCTGATTTTAGTAAACCTTATATCTTATATACCAACACCTCATATATCAGTTTAGGCGCCATACTAGCGCAGAAGAATAACAATAAAAAAGAGCATGTAGTGGCTTATGCTAGTAGAGGTTTAAATGACCCTGAAAAAAATTATTCAGCAACCGAAATCAAATGCTTGGCTGCTATATGGGCTATGCAGTATTTTCGTCTTTACATATACGGTAAAGAATTGGAACTAGTAACAGACCACCAAGCTCTAATTGGCTGTTAAATAACCCACAACCCACCAGTAGGCTTGCAAGGTAGATTATGATTACCGCTGAGTTTCCATGTACTATCCACTATAGGAAGGGTGCCATACACAATTACATGGATGCCCTATCTCAGATTCCTCACAAACCCCCATGAGGAAGAAAAAAAAAAAATCTACACAAAATATGTTAGGAATATAGCTCAAAGCAATAACTTATAAGCTTCAGATTAAATCTGGTGTCCTGGCATCGTAAAAGTATCAAAATAATATAAAAAAAAAAAAAAAAAAAAACATAATATTGTTAGTATGGATCTACAATTATATCAACAACTGAAAAAATATTTGAAAACTGCCGAAACGCCTTCTAATTTAAACCAATCACAACAGAAAAGGTTTAGAAAACAAGCCACCTATTGCTTTATTCAGGATGACTTACTATGTTATAAAAATAAAAAGGAAAATGGACTGCCATTACGAGTGATCAAAGAGAACGAGTTGGAGCAGGTATTATATGGACTCCACTTAGATATAACAGCCGGACACTTCAGAGTAAAATCAACCTATAATAAGGCCAGAAATAAATATTTCTGGCCCCAAATGTACAAAATTATCAGTGAATACATACAAACTTGTGAAGTATGTCAATAGCAAGGTGCCCCAAAGCTGCATGAAGAGTTATATCCCATTAAAGTAGGAGCTCTATTTGACAGGGTGAGCATAGATATAGTGGGTCCCTTTAAAGATATAACAGAAACAGGAAACTGTTACATCGTCGTGGCCACGGAGTACCTAACGAAGTGGCCAGAAGCGTGTCCCATACCTGATATGATAGCACCTACTATAGTTTGTTTTATTTACGAAGATATTATATGCCGCCATGGTTGCCCGAAGACTCTTCTGTCTGACCAAGAAGGTTCCTTTTGTAATGAAATTATAGATGCACTGTGTAAGATCATGACCACCCACCATAGTTTAGCTACTGCTTACCATCCCCAGACAAATGGTCTCACAGAAAGATTCAATAAAATGCTCTGTTCTACTTTAGCAAAACTAGTTGGTGAATATAAAACCACTTGGGATACCCTATTACCTGCTGCCTTATTTGCCTACCATACCCTCCCTTACCACACCACCAAGTATGATCCGTTTTATCTTACATATAGATGTTCTGCTACTATTCCACTAGACCTACAATTGCAACCGAAGGAAGAGGTCTCAAAAACACCCCTAGAATAATCATTGGAACTACACCTTAAGAAAATTACAGAACAATTGCACCAACAGAGACTTTAAGCCCAAAGTAATATCCAAGAGGCTCATTGAAGACAAAAGAAATACTATAATTGTAACATATGACCGGTAAAATTTAAAATAAGCGATCAGGTTCTATTATACGAATCAGCCAAAGAAAAAGTATATGGTGATAAACTAAGAGAAAAATGGAAGGGCCCTTACTTTATTCATGATCACAGAGCACCGAGAACATATAAGCTACGAACAGAAGATGGAAAAATTTTGAAAAACCTAGTAAATACAAACTGATTAAAACTCTACCACAAAAAACCTGCATGAGAACTGACAATATACTTATAAAGCTAGAAAATAGCAGCTTAGGAAGTAACATAGTACAAATAGGTACCTAGTATCACTCGGAGGACCTCGTTTTTTTAAGGAGGGGGAGGTGTAAAATAAAAAGAAGTTTCATTAATAATGTGATGCATATAGGGCTCATACGACGCGGCAGTCACATGATACCAATGAACCCTTTTGCTTTACTATAGATATTTTATTCTATATTTTTTTTTTATTTATTTATTCTATTACATGTATGTTATTACTCTAAGCATCGTTATGCTACCTGTAACTATTTACCCAGTTTCGTCACGTATTAAATCATTATGCATAATTCGTTATGCATACGATCATTATGCATAAATCGTTATGCATAAAATGGATAACCTACAGTAAATAGTTTCATGATTGCAAAGGGAAAAGGATCTAAAAGATAGAAGTTTAAGTGTTAGTAAATGCAAATTGTATAAAAAAACATGTAAAAAGACCTTTGTAGAGGCAGCATTCGGACGCCTCAAATACTTATCCTATAATAAAAAAACTAAAATCTCTTAAAAACCCAAACCACTTGACCTACTAATCGAATATTTCGATTACAGTATATTATCTTCTATATCTGACTTGTATAGCTCTACAAGATATAGAAGTCTTCTGGTTAAGCATTAAAAAACTAATACAGTCTGACCTCTCTATAGTTACCTCCTATATAAGCACATTTTCTTTATAAGCATGTTTTTTTAAAAACACACTTGTTAAATATAATAAATTTGATTTCTATAACTGTCACACTTCTTTACGATCACACATTTTGGTATCCCAAGTATGTGATTATAAAAAGATTTAACTGTATAATCTAAATTTTTTAAATAAATAGGCTTTATTGCCTACTTACTTATATTATTTTTTATATTAACTATATTAGTTGTATCTTTTAATATAATAGTAGTTACATTTATATATATATATATATATATTTTTCAAGTGGTTATGTCACAACTTTATTATTTAAAATAGAATATATACAGGTTTTATTCTTATATTTTTTATCCACAGCTTAGCTGTTTTATACTAAAGTATAGCTCACCTAGTTATTAAAAAGCATCTATATCAGCAAAAAATATAGATGCAAAATTTTGAAAATTATTACATGCAAAAAAATTGCAAAAGAATTGCAATTAATATAATGAATTATAAAATTTTAAAAATCACAAAATAGTACAAAATATTTCAAAAAAATGCGAAAATTATTGCAAAATTTTTGCAAATATAATACATTAAAAATACATATATAAAATAAAAATTTTCACAATATTTTGCAAAATTGCAAAATTTTTCAAAATATTGTGAAATTTTGCGAATTTTTGCAAAATATTCAAAATTATGTAAAATTAATATATAATACAAAATAAATCAAATAATTTCAAAATTTTCAAATATAGTAGAACTTGTTAAATCTGATCCTGTCAAAACTGATAACCTGTCAAAGCTGATAAAAAATTGATCCACTATGCTTATTTTTTAAACCAAATCTGATAACCTGTCAAACCTGATAAATAATACTTAAAAAATCAAATATTTATAATATATCAAATTTGAAAAGTAATTTAAATTAATTTAATTGGCTCAAATTATATTTTGTATAACAAATTTATATATAATAAATATAATCTAACCAATTATAATTATTTATAATTATATAACTAATAAATCATTAATCTTTCAAATCTAATAACCTGTCAAATCTGATACAAATTTTAGCTACTTTGTATATTAAATTTGACAGATTATACTGTATTAGTTTAAAAATGATCTTAGAAGATCAGTTGTATAAATTTATATATACAATAAAGCATTAAAATAGTAATAAGTATTATACAACTTCTATAAAAAATTGCATAGCTAGGTATGGCAGCTAGTGTAGAACCTAGGGCAAACTACTTAAATAGGCAACCAAAAGTTGCATGTATGGCTAGTTATACTCTTATTAGTAATAATCAGAGAGCTTAAA